CTCCATCTACTATTGGAATAAGGGTGCATCATCAATTTGGGATGAAGACCATTATGTCTTCATTTAGCCAGTTACTAGATTCTATTTCCAATATACTTCCAGTATTCATTTGCCAGTGAGAAATTAAAACATACTTACACATGTCTTCTGTTCCATAAGGTCATCTGCACAAGGTATGACATACCCTGGTTCATATAAGTAGATGGACTTAGTTGCAAAACTACAGCATAGCCAATACATAAGGGGTGAAGTGTTGTTACAGTTTACACATGGGAACACATGATAGAATACGGACATCCAGTAAACAAAGGTTAATGAAAATCATCTCATACTATAGAATGATTTGATTACACTGTCCAGTGTGACTCAAAAGTGTGTGTGTGTGTTGCCTTTACATGTTTCGGTCAATTAATGACCATCTTCAGAAGGCAAATAACAACACGCTGAGGAAACTACCATTACAAAAATCATACTGCATCAAGTTCAAAGTTGTCCAGAGTTTTACATATAAAGATTTTAAAATAAACTAAAATGTTGTGAGTTAAAATATTAATAAAATTCTTAATATTTAAAATTTTAAACTTCATTCAACCTCTAACAGAAATGAGTACCAGGAATTAAATAAATACTTTTCCTGGGCAGTAAAGTGCGGCCGGTGCTTAAGGCTGACAACCTTACCGCTATCTTCGAGCCGATTGTCTATATAATGTGGGACCCTCAACGTCTCACAACCCTATGGGCCTTCACGGCCTGTTACAGGGATAGCTTTACTTTTTTACTTATACCACTAAGGTTCATGTCTTTGTGTCCGTTCTATCAATGGGAGATTGGGAAGATTGCCATCCTTGGTTAGTTAACCAACTATATAAAGAAGAAAAAACACTGCTTGGATCCTCCAAGGGTGGCGATCTACCCAATCTCCCATTGATAGAAGGGGCATGAAGACATGAACCTTACTGGTTTAAGATCTTGAATATTAAGAATTTTATTAATATTTTAACTCACAACATTTTAGCTTATTTTAAAATTTTTGTATGTAAAACTTTGGACAGCTTTGAACTTGATGTACTAGGATTTATGTAAAAGTAGTTTCCTCAACATGTTGTTATTTTCCTTCTGAAGATAGCCATTAATTGACTGAAATATGTAAAGGCAACATATATATACACACATATACTTTTGAGTCACAATGGACAGTGTAATAAAATCATTCTATAGTACGGACTAGTGTGACGGACCAGAATGAATAAAGTGAAAATCATCTCATTTTGATATGAAAGTACAAATTAAAGTTTTCAGATCAGTGATTGGTGATCTGAAGCCAAGATCAATGTCAGCAATTCACTATCATCTGAAGAGAATATCATAAACACAGAATATATATACAATGAATACTGAACTGGTACACAGATATTATTATATATATTTTCAAGAAGAATTATATTTCAATTCAGAACATAAATGATTTGCATAAAAACTGTCAAGAGATACAAGGGATAAAAATATTTTGTATTCTCAAAAGAACTGCATCAGCACAAGACATCAAAAATTCTTGTCATTGCTTCACATTAACTGCCAAAGAATTTTATGTTAGTCTAACATGTTTGGGCTGTTTACTTATCTTTTAAAACAGGTTTGTTTATATCCTGCTAGAAATTTTGTATACCCAGTTCACTATATTAATACAATGTTCATAATTGTTCAGACAATTTAACAAAGTATTGCTGACCTTGCATGGACACAGATAATGTAAGCTGTTCTGTGAGAAATCTGATTTGTATACATTACTTATTTCACAAGATTATAAAGTTATTAAGAAAGTGAAATGTTTGGCAGTGTAACAAAATACAGACATAACATTTAGCTGACCATAAGGCAGCCAAGCAGTAACAGATCACATGAAAGAGACACACCTTTACAAAGAAAGGTACTGAAGAAAGAAAAATGAAGCACTGAGTAGTTTGAATTATGCAGGTGCACATCCTCTGACTGAATATCACATTACTGTTACTTGTTTGGAAAGTTCTGGGTTCAAAACTTCATCCTGGAGACCAGGTGCCCTGACTTAGGTTCTTCATGGTTTCTTCAGTCTCTCCAGACTAATGCCAGGGTGGTATCTCAAATTAAATTAATTTCCTGTTGCATATGTAAAAGCTAAGAATGTGACCATCAACACAACAAAGAGATGAAAGTTCATATTCAAGTGAAGACAAGCATATACTAATGTGTACCTCACCTATTTCTTACATGCAGAAATTCATGCTACATGTTTCGACCTATGTGTAGACCATCATCAGGCACCCCGTAAGAACTATACACCAAGTTGTTTGTAAAATTGGTTGTCTCAATACATCATGCAGTAAGGATCTGTACTGAGATAAGCAATTTTAGAAGCAACTTGGTTTATTGTTCTTACAGGATGCCTGATGATGACCTACACATAGGTCGAAACATGTAGCATAAATTTCGGCATGTAGTAAATAGGTGAGGTACAGATTAGTATATGTGTTTCTTCACTTGAATGTGAACTGTCATCTATTTGTTGCAGACGGTAACATTCTTAGCTTTCATTTTCATGTTTTGCATTCTGCTGAGTATATCACTAATATGTAAATATGTTCATTCATCACAGCTTTATACTTCCACTAATAACTGATAGAATCAAACTGTTGATAATTCAGTTTAATTTATTAAAACATTTTCATGCTACATGTTTTTGTCCTTTAGGACCATCATGAGGCAGTTATAAACAACGAAATATATCCACAATCGTTACTAACCAGCATGACACAATGGATCCATTACTAATAGTTCTGTCATATAAGAAGTTTTTACATAAAATTATGATGTTTAAGTATATTAAAATACTTGTAGAGTATTATTAAAACTTGTCTAAAATTCATAATATTATACTGCAGCATCTTGTTGCACTGTGTACTCTAACTTCATGTTCCCACTTTTTCCAACTTTGTGTGGTGCTGTTGATATATTATGATCACATTTCTTAATCTCGTTATTATATACCACTGTACATTTCGGTCTAACTGGCCATCATCAGGTGTATAAGATGATGGGCTGAAGGAACCTCCTGCTCTGCTATTATATTGTTCTGCTTTTCGTTTTTGATGTGAATGCTTCAGAATATTCATCCTAATATCTTATAAACCTGTAGGTCTAGAAAACCAAGATTAATGGCCATGGGAATCCTCTGCACTGACCACATGAAACCCTCTATCCACAAAAGAACTTTTCCGACAAGTGGCGGTCACTCGGTCGTTATAGTTAGCTTGTGGACTACAGGCCACAGAGATGTTATACCCCTGATGATGGTCAGTTAGGCTGAAACATGTAGGGGTATATAATAATGAGACAAAGAAGTTGTCTAAAATTATTATTAGTTTTAGCTTTTGCTATAAAATTATCTTCTTATGTACATTTCGCACTTTTGTTCTTATGGGGATACTGATGTTGCCTGAGTGTATGTTGTTGGTGTCAGTGGTTGCTCATGTGTTTTAATGGATGAAATGGTATGTTTCAAATTTTTGTACTGATGTTATGTGGGTATACATTGTCGGTCCTGATGGCCAAGTGTCGTCCTGCTTGGGTGGTTTATTCTTCTTGGCATTATGTTGTGGGCTTACTGCTCTTGTTCTTATTTTCTGTTCTTTGTTAGTAAGATTTTAGCACAGTGGAGTTTTTTATGGTGCTGTTTCTGGTTTTCTGTTGATGTGTGACTTAACTTCTTCTGATGTTGTGATGTATCTGGTTACCTTATTGAGACTGAGATTTTAGTATATTTAAACATCACAATCTTATATAAGAACTTTTTATATACAGACACTTATTATGTAACAGNAACAATCTACAGCAAAACCATCAATTATTATGGGCGTTATAACATACGTGTGCAGCTGGACGAAACATACACGTCGAACCCCCCCAGACGATTTAAATCCCTGACGAAACATACACGACGAACCACGGCAACGGGTTAGTAATGGATCCATTGCATCATGCTGGTTAATAACGAATGTGGATACATTTTGTTGTTTATAAATGCCTCATGATGATCGCAATGGACTGAAACAAGTAACATGAAAATATTTTAACAAATTACTCCGATTTATTGACAGTTTGATACTATCAGTTATTTATTAAAAGTAAAAAGTTGTTGTGATCAATGGACACATTGAAACATACTGTATCTATAATTAAGTCATAACTACTTCCTAACATTGTATGTATGCTCCTGTGGCAGGGAAGATCCCCTGTAATATAAACACTAATATGCACACCAACTTTAGAGTCAAATCATAGGACAATGAACAACAAGACTGTTAGGGTAATGTTCAATATCTTTAGCCTACTTTTTACTATTTAAAACATTTCTTTGGTGTACAGTTTTATGGTCTGAGGGAGATGTACAAAACAGCTTTACAGAACCTTGAGAAATTCAGAAATATTTCTACTTTGTCCCCAGATGCATTACACAAATGCACTTTTTCAACAGATGGCACTTTCATGCCTGGGTATGCATGTCTAGTACTTGATGACACAACACACATTTTTGTTGTCAATCAACATACTGTGAGTTCATACAGTCCACTTTTCAATATATAAATTTTGTTAGAATCTTCTGTTAGTTTTCCGCCATGACAGAACTAATCAGCACTCCATAAGAAAAGAAATGAAAGGAGGAGGTGATGTAAACATTTCTTGTAGGCAGACTCTGAAATTCATACAACTGGGTGTGTGTAAATAACTGACATTCCATAGCAACTGATCATGCAGTTTCATTAATCTGACATAAATACAACTATTTCAGATACTGAAGAATCCACTGAAAGAAACTTAGAATGGTTGGCAGCCAACAGCTGTATGGAATGAAATTGAATTTACAAAGCAATGTTTGACTGAATGCTACAATACAATAAATACAGAGCAATACAACATGCGTCACACTGGCACGCATAGCAGCAGCAGTGGTTTCACATTCATACCCTCATCAGCTCTTCTGCTTCCTTCTCATTGTCGACAATAGCTTCATCGCACTGACAGCGTGTTTGGAAAAATGCAGAGTTTTTTCACATGTAAATTTATGCGTAATGCATCACCTCCAATGGTATAATACAATGCTGATAATTCTATGTCACTGTTAGTTATACAAGAGATGAGTCTATATTTACTTCAAAACCATATCTGAATGATTTTAGCCCAGATTTGTGGAAGCAACACATTCATGTACTTTTAAGTAACTGTGACAACTAATGTGAGTGAAAAATATTTGATATCTAATTGAATTATGTCAATAAGGGTACCATTTAATTACATGTATTCAAAGCCAGTACTATACAGCATCGCCCAATTTACTGCATACATCAACTGACAGCAAAGGTTAACTTTTCAGTACCTCAATATGAACCAACTTCAGGGGTTAATGAAATGACTAATTAAATGAAACACATGCAATGGACAATCATGTAAACTGATAACACTGTCCCATGAGACTTACAAGGTGAGTTTCACTGGAAACCTACTTCCACGACTTCTTATGTCATATAATAAAATTTAATACAAAATATTCTGAAGCTAAAGAATTTACTGAGATTACTTAAATTCTTCACCCTTCAGCAAAGAGTTCAATGGAATTCTTGCTTAATGGGTTAAAAACCTTCAATCAACTAACTGATCCCAGCCCAATCCAGCTGTAACATTGATAAAACCCAAGAGCCACTCACAGTTATATCATCTGCAATACAACAATATTCCTGTTTTCAAATATCTGCATTACCTTCTCTCCATACTCAGAGTCGATGGCCATCATCTCCCTCAGGGTCTTCAGGACTTTGACACATAGCTTCTCTTCCTTCTCCTCCAACAGCTTCTCTGTGTGCTTAATCAATCTGCAACAGTCAGCGTACACAGCTTTATTTAATCATTCCTGACACCAATGAAGGAGCAGCATGCCTAATTCAGCACAAACACCAATTAACTTTGGATACACTGAGTGTGGAACTGCAAATGAGCTTTGGTTTGGTCCATCCAACACTGGGTGTCATTTCAAATAAAGCAGAGGTATTTCAGTATCTGCAGGGCCTTGTACATTCAGCATGAAACAGAAGACAATGATTTTCCTGAACAAACTGTGATAGGCACACCACTTATAGCCTGAAACCAGATAACCTAGTAAAGAGTGGCATAAACCTTCATCACCGAAGTCCAACAAATTTTGAGCAATGCTAACTGAAAAAGTTATGCTGATTATTTTCTGCGATATGGTCTCGTGGTGGGAAATATCCTGCAGAAGGGATCCACAATAAACAGTGTAACATACTTCAAATTGGTGGAGGTTAAAGCAAAGCAGGTTTTTGTCCAAAGGAATTTGCTTGCAGCACCGAAATGTGTATTCACACAACTTTCTGTCAATGGTTATACTCGTATCCATTAAGAGTCCTTTCACACCTGTGTCACCCAAGAGACCTCATACCAAAGTAAGTAAATTAATCATAACATGTGATTTATATCCATTGGCAAGTAGCAGCTTTGTGCACAGTCACATGTTTAACCAAAACTCATGGAACCATTCTCGACAGGAAGGAATGCAGCCAAAGCTGGTGAAACAATGAAGCATAAGCTGGAGGGATGCAAATTGGTTTGCTTATGTTGAGGCAGACTACGTCTCTGCAGTTCATAGTTACTTGAAGCATACATGCCACTGGCGCTATGCTACACGCCGGAAGGGCGCGGGTTCAAGTCCCAATGTGATCATTGGATTTTTTTGATTGACCTGATCCTTCCAGCTGCACTATGGGTCTGGGGTTCACTAAGCCTTTAACAGAAATAAGTACCAGGAATTAATTAAATAATTTTCCTTGGGTGTAAAGCGAGGCCAGTGTGTAAGGCTGACAACCTTACCACCATCTTTCAGCCGACTGTCGAGATAATGTGGGACCCTCAACATCTCACTAACTTGTGGGCCTTCACGGCCTGGTACAGGGAGAGCTTACTTTTACTTTACTTTATACATGCCACTGGCACAACTGTGTGTGTGAAATATATGTCTGTAAGCAGTATTTGAACTTGAACAGTGCAATCAACATGTTAACAGTTGTCACGGGCTAAAAACAAACACTACAACTAATCCAGCCTGTTAATATGACAAAAAATCTTTATTCTTTGCATTCTGTTATGTTAGTTGTAGCTGACTGTTAAGAAAACTGTTGAACAGCTAGCCACTGTAATCACGAAATGACAAACTGGAGATTCCTCAAATTTCATAAAAGAAAAGTCCTGTGTGCAAATCAAACTGGAAGCCTTTCTGAGAACAGTGAAATTGCAATGCTGTCTTGATCACAGAAGGTGATATCATGAAACAGATGATCTTGTGAGCACTATCTGCTTTCAAACAAATGCTGAGCTGAGTTCAGCACTGGAAAAAGCAGAATTACTGGAAAACTACCTGAAGTGGCATTCAAACCAGAAGTGCACATGGGATTCCACTATCAGATTATAAAAGGGCAGCAAGGGCAGTATTCTACACATTTTTACCAAAAGAATAGGAGATCATAAAATGATAGTAGATAGTAGAGTGAATCGAGAATAAAAATGCTAAAGCCAACACAGTAAAGTTCTAATTGATAATGTCTTCTTTGCAATAACAGTGAATGTTTACATGCTCTCTTTGTGAGACAAGCATTCATGATGACAGTGACCGCTACTTAAAGAAGATTGTGATGTTTTACATCAGCAGAGCATCTGTTATGCCTGGAAGGGCAAACTGAGTACTGACACTGCCACAACATGAAAATTAAACTCTTGTCAGAACAGAGATTTGATGCTCAAAGAAGATCTTAGAAACGGGTGTCAATAATGCATGGCACTCTCAGAAGTCATCTGTGAAGAAAGAACTGCTCACAGAACTCGCTGAAAGTAAAGAATATGATGTTTCAACTTCTGAATGACATGAGGTGGCTCTCAAAAATCTTTGTGGTAAGTGCACTACTGGGAAACCATAATGTCAAAATACATGAACACATACATAAAAACTGTTGGAACCCCGACATACTAACACGCAGCTTTGTCTGTCTAACAGACAGCATTCAACTTCTGCTCAAGCCAAGTCAATGTCACATTGCGGCCAGCACTCGTATTTATAGAGCACTTGATATCCAGCCCACTTGTAGATCATCACATGTGCTAGCCAATCAGTGCTCACAATCAACTGCAACTTTAGTTTCGCCCAACAAGCGTGGTATAAAGGGCGGAGCTCAAAACTTGCTATGATCAGTTCTTTGATCGTCCTCACTACGACAAAGAAGCTAACACAGCTACTCTGATGTCACGAAGCAGCAACAGCTCTCCAGCAACCGCACCGAGACAACAGTTCTGTCATTACCCGCAACATAGGCAGCTGTTCCTACCGGCACATGCAGCACCGCATCACCAGCCAGCCAGACGAGCTGAACAGCCATAAAGAAGACCTGGTCTGCTACAAAGCAGCTAACGCTACTAGTGCAAGCACAGTCAGACAAACGGCCCTTTACAGGGCCCACAAACTTGTGAGCAACTATTCTGTACAATCGAGAATTACATATACAATTGTTATAGATTTACATGAATGTCTCTTAGAACATCGACATCCACAAAACAATGGACCCATCAACATGCAATATAGTCAGAGTACAAAATTTGTGTATAAAATATTCAAATATGATCAAATTTATGCAGATATATGATTATCGTCGTCACAATCATAAATTAATACAAAAGACCTATTCATAATATAGAAGTTTGATGCAATTTCCTCCATCATATAACTACAAATACTTAATTTAACAGTCCAAATATAATACATTTCATCAGGATTTAAAAATATATAATATATAATAAAAATTCAGTATATACAGTCATTTCATAGCAAGAACCTTAAAATTTGAAAACTATTAATTAACATATTCCTCTACAGGATAAAAGGAAATGAGCTGTAAGTAAACCATTCACGACCATCTTAATTGTTTACTGCCTGTGTTATTTAAAACATGGTCTATTACAATACCATACTTTCATAAAATTTATACCCTTAAATGCCCAGCGACTAGACAATGGGTAATACATCATGTGTTAAATCAACCTAACAAACAACTCAAAATATATCTGGATTACAAACCTTTGCCTTCTTTATACTGAAACTATTCGTTTAAAGAGTAAAAAGAATGATGACATAAAAACCTCTTTAACGTATTTTTAAAGCTTTCCTCATCATTGACCAAAATCTTTACTGATCGTGGATGATGACTGAACACTTTAATACCAGATATATGGGCTCCTTTATCAGATTTTGAAGTATTCACAACAGGTAAATCTAAATTACCTTGGGATCTAGTTGTATATTCATGAATCTCATTATTAAAGTTAAATAAATGTCTATTATTAATTATGTATAAAAGTAATGAGTATATATACTGTGAATATAACGTTTCCAATTTCTTGAAAATATCCCTGCAGGAATCTCTAGGTTTAGTGTTCATTATGATTTTAATAATTTTCTTTTGCAAGATAAACACAACTACTGCAAAAAGCAAGTGAACAAGTGCAACGATACAGTAAACAAATATTGGCTGAGACTGCTAACAGATCCACGATATTATGTTGCACTGACAGTCATGAATAATGTTCTAGGTGGAGTGGCATCACAAAGCAAATTCTTTTATAGAAAATGCTTGATAGCAAACAAAACTATGCAATTTGCAGAGTCCAGGTTTAATAAACTGAGGACACAGTACCTAAGTAAAGTCATTTAGTGATGTGAAAGAAATGTTGGCCTCTGTAGACAGTGATGCTGACACTATTGCAATTCTTTAATTTTACCAATTACTAAGTGAAAACTTGAAGAGCAGATTTCCAGGAGAGGAGAGAACGCAATGGCAAGTAACTGATCAGGCTGCAGTAACCAAGACAAGTGATTTTGAATCTGGAAAGGACAGTGTGATACAAATGATAGAAAGATATTCTGTTCTTACACAAAATTGAAAGGAGTGAGAACATAAGTTACATGAGTGGTAGCACAACAATTTAAAAGTTGTGACAGTCAAAATACTTGGGAAGAGTTTGGCTCAGACATTCAGTGTTTCATTTGGATGTATAGTGAAGTTGCACCATACTCACATTTAGCTTATGTGAATTCAACCACACACACTTACCCTTCCCATCCCCCCAGGAGGAGGAGCTGAACCAAAATTACTGTACATTTTACTCATTTATGCATTCTTTATTATATACATACACACTACAGGGCAGATAAAAACAGTGTACTTTATGGGTGAGTTAAGGGATTTTTTGGGTAATTCTGACTATGCACAATTTTGGGTTTATATGTCATCTTAAGATTGCAAACCCCGCAAAAGAAGTGATTCCACTGTGCTCTTGGAGACAACCAGTTCAAAGAAATGTTCATTCTTCTGGACATCTGTGCACCATTTCATGAATTTAGTGCTGACTGTAAGTGTGGTTCTGGCCCCGTAAATTTGATTAAATCTGAATTCATGAACAGATTAGAAGCTGGTCATCTGGACATATTGAGCCAGATACAAACAATGGGCAGCAAGTAAAGACAGGAGTGAAAAGCTGCCAACAAAGCAGTAAACAATGTCTTGTATATCAGCAATGCAATGTGTATGAACAGTCTTTAAGTGTATCAGAGACAAGTATATGCAATTATTCTATAGCACTGCTAACTTATGTATGCAGAATAATTGCATTATTTACACGTACTCTAACAACAAAAAATGAATAAACATTTTTTACTGGTAAATACACACTATAAAAAGCCACATGACTTCCACTCAGTGGATGCACTGAGTTTCAACAAACTGCTCAGACTGTTCAGCCATCCTGACAGGCAGCACAAAAATTAAAACAATTGTTTGGATTTTAATCATCTCTGTGGATGTACAACCAATTTGTTCATCACCAACCCACATAATATTTAATAAATTTACAGTCTCCATATTTTCATAAAACAATTCAGGTAGTTGTCCAAAATGCAAATCATGAAAAATGCCAGAATGTTGAAGATGCTTTTAAGAAATATTAGGAGGGAGACATAACAGCAACTTTGTCAGGTTAGTTTCAGGATCCATTACATTACAGAGGAATGAATGTTTGAAAGGTAATACAATCCAGTACAGTTAAGACAGTTTACCTCCTGATGAAGCCACCACTTTCACATCGTTTCCTTGCTTCTGTTCCTAGTGGAAAAAGATGCTCTGGTCTATAGAGGATATCCACAAGAAGAGACAGTTCTGACTGTACGAGAGGCTTTAATTGGTCTTCCAGAAGTGATACAATATCCTGTAGTCCTTCAATAATGCTGCGATCCATTCTCATAAGCTGCAATAACAGTGCACTGCACATCAATCCATTTCATGCCATAAATACAAATTCTAGATATATCCACAGGACTAAAGGTATTAACTGCATATTCTAGTAGAAGAAGTTCTCTAATAAGTTGGAACAAGTCATCATTCTCTTGCAAATATTTTCCTTTTCCTTTGAAAGGACCTGTATGATACCTTAAACAAGCTGTTATTCAAATGTATGAGGTAATATTTTGAATTATTCTATAGACATGATACTATTTTACTTCCACTTGGATGGTGTGGTTAATAAACAAAATGTGCTATTCTGGGCATCAGAGAATCAATGTGTGATTCATGAGAAGGTGCATCATGCACCGAGAATTACAGTGTGGGATGCCATCTCAAGTCATGGACTGCTACGGTCAATTTTCTTTGAAGAGACAGTGAACAGTGAGTGTTACTTAAGCATGCTGCGCAATACTTTCGTGCCTCCCCTTCTTGCTACAGGTTTGCGGTTACATGCTAGTGGTTCATGCAGGACGGAGCCAGACTGTACACAGCAAATGCTGTTTTGGACTTTCTGCATGACACTTTCGACTTGTGTTATCTCAAAACGATTTCTTGATCATTTCGCATGTGGACAGGACTGGCCCACAAATAGTTCTCATGTAAACCCAAGTGACTACTTCTTTAGTGTTTCTTTAGGAAAAGAATTTTTCGAAAAAGCCGCAAACAATAATTGAACTGAGAACACTATTCATTCAGGCCTTCAATGAGATAACTCAGGATATGTGCCGTTGAGTAATCAACAACATGTTCATCTTAAAGAAGCTGCCAGCGCTAATGGTGCTCATATTGAACACTTGAGTCAGAGGATAAAACTTCATGCAATAGTCTTTCTTTTTGCATGTTACTTTCTAGTATTGTAATAAAAAAAATTAATAACAGATCAAATACTGGTTCATTTCATGTGCCACCCTGTATTTTGAAGAACTAGGACTAAAGCTATGCTGTATCTGAAACAATTTAATATTCCTTCTAGAGAATTTTCATTGATAAATATTTACTGAAAATTCTAATCTTCTTGCCTCAAGCACACGACCAACCTGAGACTGAGAGCGTTCCATTTTAGGAGTCTTTGCAGCCTGAAGCCATTTGCTGGTTTGGCGTGAAAGCATCGCTGCTTTATTGAAGAGAGATGTAACCTGTGTCTCCAAATCTGATGGAATGGCAATACCTCTGGTCTTTGCTGCCAAAAACAAATAATGATACATAATTTAAAGGTTTAAAATTAAAGGGTAAATAATGGAAGAACGAAGCACAAATCACATCCCTATTTAACTGTGCATCCTATACACCTATTTTCGTTATTTCTCTTTATATGCTCAACACACTGAGGGGAGAATGACAGTTACAACTCTCTGACGGCTGTTCATTCCTCAAGAAAAATCACAACAGGACAGAAATCCCACTGTTTTTATGGCATATAAGGATTCTTTATCAGCTTCTTCAAGTTCAGAGTAAGTACTTCCTCATTCACTAATGCAGAATAATGAAATAAGAATTAAAAAATTGTCAGTGCTTAGACATCAGAGATATTTTTTCGCACTTTTAAAGCTTCCAAAAAACAGTCCAAATTCTGCAAGAGAAACGACAGCCTGAAGAACTGAACTTCTACACGTACAAGCACAGGTGGCAAATGACTCTATAAACTGTCATGGGAACTTACCAACACAGAACACAGTTCTCCACATGGGAACTTACCAACTTCAGAGAGAGTACAAACACAGTTCTGCACATGGGAACTTACCAACTTCAGAGAGAGTATGAACACAGTTCTGCACATGGGAACTTACCAACTTCAGACAGAGTATGAACACAGTTCTCCACATGGGAACTTACCAACTTCAGAGAGAGTATGAACACAGTTCTCCACATGGGAACTTACCAACTTCAGAGAGAGAACGAACACAGTTCTGGACATGGGAACATACCAACTTCAGAGAGAGTATGAACACAGTTCTGCAAATGAGAACTTACCAACTTCAGAGAGAGCACAAACACAGTTCTGCACATGGGAACTTACCAACTTCAGAGAGAGTATGAACACAGTTCTGCACATGGGAACTTGCCAACTTCAGAGAGAGTATGAACACAGTTCTGCACATGGGAACTTACCACCTTCAGAGAGAATATGAACACAGTTCTGCACATGGGAACTTACCAACTTCAGAGAGAGTACGAACACAGTTCTCCACATTAAAGCGCTGTGATGCTCCAAGCCATGTGCACTGTGACATTCGAAATGCAGCCTGAAGAAGCTGCACAAAAATGGGCTGCCTCGTCTACATACAAAAAGAAAGTGGTTCTGTAGTTTCTGCTGTAATTATAATCAAATTATTATTTAAAATGCTATATCCTGTCTTGAATATGGTTTAGTGTAAGTATTTTTGTTTTAGTGATAAACTTGTTAAATTCAAGTTCATGTTTCAGAGACAACCATCTTAGATGTGGTCACGGTTGTGATTGGTTCAACTGATACTTATAGCAAATGTTATCTGCAACTGCCGAAATGAAATATTCTGAGAGAAGTATTGAATGGCTGTAAAGTTCAGTTGGTGGTGGCGGTGGCAGTGGTGGTGACAAAAACAATGACTGCAACCTGATTCATTTATTAAAGTGCTGTAAAACGGCATATGGAATTTATGACAGGAGAACACTGCATTTGACTTGTCTAATTATGACCATGTTATTGCTGGAGGGACGATATTTTGTGCTGCCAAGTGATGCTGTTACAAGCTGCCATACAGACTGCTTTTCTAGCAGACAGACATTCCTTTACTGAGCTCACAACTTTCCAGTACCATTAAGTAACAGCTAGGTGATTTAAATCCTTTAATTATTTGCTATTATGTTTCCGTTCATTGCATTAACCAGGATAATGTTCCTGTATACTTACTGTGGGATTATCCTCGTTGAAGGCACTTGTATTTTCACTCCAGTAGAGTCTGGCCTCAATGAGATGTTTCTATGGAACACATACCCAATACCACGACAACCACATCATGCAACACAAAATTAGTTAGTCTGACAACACAACCCATGCATAAATACACTTCAAGAAGCTCAACTATAAAATATAAAGCACTGCAATTTCAATACATATTGGCACAGAACACAACAAGTAAACCGTTGCTCATCTATCTATGGCAAAATTAAATACATGAAATACAACCAGCTAAAGCATAAGAAAGATAAAAAAATTAGTTGTCATAACTCTATACATACCCTACTAAGGACTTTAAAAGAAAAGACAAGAATAGAGATGGAATTGAAGTTTTACAAAGTAATGACAGTGCTACATGGCATCACATCCCTGAAGACCATAATCTTAATAGCCACTGCCATCATAACTGCCTAAATTAAGTCTGGATGTTAGATATATGGGATCTAAATACAACATAGGCAGCTAAAACCAAATTTATAAGAACAGTTAAAGAGCATATCCATTTTGACAAGATAAAGAAGGAAGATATCACAAATTGACTACAAATTTATAAATGACAGAAAAGAATTGCAATTACAGGAAACAAAGGGTTTAATACCTCAAAAGGATACAAAACAGAAGATTCAAAAGTTAGCTTCTCAATACTGGCTGAGAGGAAGAAGGGAAGAAAGCAACAGGCATTCTTAAGCCTGAATAAGCCAGGCCCAAAGTGTTTATATACACATAGTAACGGGACAACTGGACAGGTGCTGACCATAATGCAGCTGCTGTGAAATTGTGTTTCTCAAATGTGTTCATGCACACACACACACACACACACACACACACACACATACACAAAACGAACCCTCAGAGATTATGTTTCTGGTAGAATTTGAATCTGCCAACTTTGACAGTAGTATTATCTGCCAATGATCATAAATGTATGAACTGGGAGACAAAGAAGACAGGTGAAGAAAAGTTTTTATAGCATGAATATTTTTTTCTAAATTCTTGATTTTGAACTTCATGAGAATAAGATCATCAGTGTGGGTTTCGACATAACACATCAAATACTGCTCAGATTTTTGCATTTGTCAGATATTGGAGAAAAAATGGGAGTACAATAAGACAGTACATCAGCTACCTGTAGACTTCAAGAAAGCCTATGTTTCAGTTAGGAGGGAAGTATTGTACAATATTCTCACAGAGTTTGGGGTACCCATGAAGCTAGGTAGGTGAATAAAATGTGTTTAAATGAAATGTACAGTAAAGTCCATATGGATAAACGTTTGTCTCATAATTTTCCTACGAAAAAAGGGGGGGTGGGAGATGCTATATCATCACTCCTCTTCAACTTTGCTTTGGAATATACCATTAGGGAGGTCCACGAAAACCAGGTGGGCCTAAATTAAATGGGACATATCAGCTGTTGGTCTACGCTGATGATGTGAATCTCCTGGATGATAATAAAGATATCATAAAGAAAAATGCACAAACCTTAACTGATGCTAGTAAGGAGGTTGGTCTAGAAGTAAACACACAGAATGCTAAGTATATGTTGCTGTCTCGTCACCGGTATGCATGGCAAAATCATGACATAAGGACAGCTAACAGATGTTTTGAAAATGTGGTACAGTTCAGATATTTGGGAATGACTATAACAAATCAAAACCTGATTCAGGATTAAATTAACAGGAGACTGAATTTAGGTGATGACTGCTGCTGAAGTTAAACTGTGTTCTTGAAATATGTTCATGCATCATGTTCTGCTACCATTCAGTTCAGAACGTTTTGACTTTTTGTTTGCTGTCTAAAAACATGAAAATTAGAATATAAAAAACCATAAATTTGCCTGTGGTTCTGCATGGGTGTGAAACTTGGTCTCTGATAGACTCAGGGTGTTGAGATTATTTGGACTAAAGAGAGATAAAGTGACAGGCGGATGGAGAAAACCACTTAATGAGGAGCTTCATAACTTCTGCTCTTCTCCAAGTACAGTTAGAATGATCAAGTCGAGTAGGATGAGATGGGCATGGCATGTAGCATGAAGAGGGGGAGAAATGGAATTCATATAGGATATTAGTGGGAAAGCCAGAAGGAAAGAGGCCACTAGAAAGACCAAGATATATGTGGGTGGACAATATTAAAATGGATATTAGAGAGAGAGGATGGGATGCTATGGTATGGTATGAATTGGATTAATCTGGCTCAGGTTATGGACCAGTGGAGGGCCCTTGTGAACATGGTAATGAACCTTTGGGTTCCATAAAATGCTGAGAATTTCTTGAGTAGCTGTAAAATTGGCGGCTTCTCAAGAAGGCCTCTGAGTGAGTGAGTGAGTGAGTGAGTGATGAGAATAGGTGATTTCCAGTAAGGAAACTCAAAACACATAACATTATTTGCTTGAATAAGATGTGAGGTCTTCACAGTTAAGAAGATTCATATTATGGTCTTCTAGCAAGTTCAATTCTGCCAATTTTGACACAAATGAGTAGCTTCTAATGGCAAAGATGATTACTCTTGCTCTAGTTTTATTAGCAAATGATTCTTCACGTTTCTCAACCTTTCATAATTTTTAATATTATTACAATATACTTACAAGTATCTACATAGTAAAAATTCGTGCTTAAGTCATTACATCTGTATTACTGCTTCATCCGATCCATATAAAAACAAAAAAATAACAGTGTTTTCCTTTCTTCTGAAATTGTTAGAAGCATGAAAGGCAGATTCATTTTAAATTCTGAATATGTCATTCCATGTTTCAGATTTTTCCAAAAGATCCCAGGCAAGACAAAACAAAAATTCAATGGTAAAATTTTACTAGAGAACTGGACATCACAATAAAAGAAGAATGATACCGCCATATGATGCCACTTCTCATGAGACATGGAAAATCAATGATTTGCTATACATGGAAAGATAACAAGGTCACTGTTGCAGAAAACCCACAAAATAGTATTACCACCTTAATTCTGAGAGGCTGAATCTAACAGCAATTTTGGTAGCTTCTTTAAAGATTTATGCAATGAAGCTTTCAGTAGATCAGAATACATACAAGGCGTGTCCCAAAAGTCATGAAATATATATATATATTTTTTTTTAATTTATTGATGATATCGGTACAAAGTCTTAATATTCTTCAAAGTACTGTCCATGAGCATCTACACATTTTTTCCACCAACTCTCCCATGCCTGGTATGCCCCCTCAAAGGCCTCGACAGGAACCTCATTTAAAGCTGTTGTCACGGCCGCTTGGATAGCCTAAATACTTTAAAATGGCGTCCTTTGAGTGCAGTCTTGATCCTCGGTAACAAAAAGAAGTCGGCCAGAGCTAGGTCGGGGCTGTAGGGTGGCTGCGGCAGTGTTGCCACATGGTGCTTCGCCAGGAACTCACGGACGAGCAGAGACGTGTGGCTGGGTGCATTGTCATAAAGCAGCCGCCAGTTAACGGTGATGTCTTTTTGCACGCGGATGACCCTTTTCCTTAATCTTTCTAGAACATCCACGTAGTAGGGAGCGTTGATGGTCTGTCCTTGGGGTAAAAACTTTGTGGACAACACCCTTGGCGTCGAAAAAGATGATGAGCATTGTTTTCACTTTGGATTTGCTCATCTTCGCCTTCTTCGGTTTCGGGGAAGCCGAGGTGTGAGCAGACTCCCCGTAGGCTTGCTTAAGCAGTTCGTGAGTTTCGGCAGCTTTTTTGTTGAGCTTTGTGCAGAACTTGACCGCCCAACGTTGTTCGAAAGTATCCACCATCGCGCGCCGTGACGTGGTCACAAAACACAGGTGCACTAAATCAGCGATACTGATGCCTCTGATGCTCGAGCAGACTGACCTTGGGTGCGCTGTGAAGCTAAAGACATCCCCCGCCCCTATCCCAACCGGTTCCAGCGCGCTCCGACCAGTAGGAGCACGGGAAAGAAATATACTTCATGACTTTTGGGACACACCTTGTATATATAGGGTCACTGGGGGGTGTATTGTTCTTCCTGTAATTAAACAGTATCCTGCAAAATCCACTCACACCAGAACAGGGCTGAATGCTGGTTAATTAACACTACATCCCAACAAACTGAATGGGTTGGTCTAGTGGTAATGCTCTGGACTTTTATTTTGGAGGTGCTTGGTTCAAAACTTGGCCAGGACACTACCTATCCTGACTGAGGCCATGACTGCTTCCTTCCAAACCATTTCCAACTCATCAGGGTTTTATCAGCATACCATCTGACACTATATCGTCTCACCACTGCAAAGCACCATTAAATAATACCCATGGAATAAAGAAAGAAAAATGTCTAAATAAAATGAGAAACTAATCTACCCCACAAGAAAAATGTGACTAAAGTCTTTCTATTACCATTAAAAAGGAAGTTCTATGATCCTGCAGTGTAATGAGTGATCAAATTACAAGGTAAATGGATTTTGCACCAGACATTTTATCTTCCTCCCTACGCGCTACTCATTTGTTCAACAATTATTTGAATATCAACTTAGATAATTTCACAATATATTTCACTACACAAGTTTCCTCAATTGAAATTCTTTTTTGCAAATTAAGCATGTATACTATGTATGCCAATATAAAGCACTAGACAAGTAATTACAAACTATGATTAATCTTGTAGGTTTGTGAAAAAGTTAAAAAGATGCCAAGAAATTATTCTCCACTCAATTACATGTTCTCTTGTTCTATAGCAGTGGTTCTCAAACATTTTACCTCTGAGCCCCCCCCTGACAAGAGAAAATACTCTCAGACCCCCAGCCTGTTTTTTCTCATCAAAATAGAAGTCATGGTATGTTTGACATTTTACTCAGTTTATTTTGTGTTTTTCTACATACTATTTAGCAGTTTTCTTACTCAAAATTAAAGTATCACAATATTAGGCCTACAATAAAAATTAGTTTTAACACTCGCAATTAACCAAAATATGTATTAAAATGAAACGATATTTAACTAACAAGTATTTCATTTTTTTTTCTGCAAAGAAAATCAAACATTTAAATGTCAAAGTTCAGTGTGATGGATGGGCCTGCTT